TGAAGGGTAGCAGTATTGCCTGCGGTGTTGAATAGCTTTACATCATCAGCGAAGAGAACGCAGTTGCTCTTAATATGATCACAGTGATCATTTATGTGGAGTATGAAAAGAGTTGGTTCTAGAACACTGCCTTGGGAGCCCACTGTTGACAGGTACAGAATTTGATAGGATATTCCCTCAACTACAGGCCTGTGTATGGCTCCAACCATTATCAGGTTCGCAGATGATACTACGGTAATCGGATTCATCAACGATGACAATGATTCAGAGTACAGGGAGGAGGTGCAGTGCCTAGCTACATGGTGCGCTGACAATAACTTATTACTTAATACTAACAAGACCAAAGAGCTCATTGTGGACTTCAGGAAAAAGAATGGTCACACACATTCTCCTATATACATCAAGAGAGAGTGGTAGAACATGTCACCAGCTTCAAGTTCTTGGGGATCCACCTCTCTGAGGATTTGTCCTGGCAGATTAACACCACTAGTCTGATTAAGAAAGCTCACCAGCGCCTCTTCTTCCTGAGATTACTGAGGAAGAATCACATCTCCTCAGCTATTCTGACTAATTTCTACCGCTGCACAGTCGAGAGCATCTTAACTAGCTGTGTCATAGTTTGGTATGGAAATTGCACTATAAAAGAAAAAAAGGCATTACAGAGGGTGGTGAAAACCGCCCAACGCATTATAGAGATTCCACTTCCTGCCACTGTGGACATTCAGAGGAAACAATATCTCCGTAAAGCCCACAGCATCATTAAGGACTCCTTCCATCCAGCCCACAAACTGTTTACTCTTCTTCCATCTGGGAGGAGGTTCAGGTGCCTGCAGTCTAAGACTAGCAGGCTAGGGAACAGCTTTTACCACACAGCGGTTTCCTTGCTGAACTCCTCAGTTTGTTTGTCCCCACATATATCCTAATACTTCCCTTGATAATATATGATGCATTTTGTATGATTCTCTGTGCATTTGTACTTACATTCAATGTGTCCATAAACATTTTGTACAGTTGTGTATGTTCATATATGTGAAGTCACACTTATCCTTGTGTGCTCGTGTACATACATTTTGTTGTGTTTTCCATTGACATATTCCTAGATGCCTTGCATATTTGCATACATATATTTATATTTTACTGTTGTTTTGCACTTCTGGTTGGCTACTAACTGCATTTCATTGCTGTATCCTTGCAATGACAATAAAGTTGAATTTAATCTATTAAAAAAACATGCCAATAGCATGCAGTGCCAATTTTTAACAACTGCACTAAGGACTCTGTAAAACAAAAGATCAAAGTTCACAGGCAAATCAGATCTGAAATGTCAGGCTGTCCATCCCAACTTTGCATAGTATACTGGTTTAGGTGCAATAAACTATGGTTTGATTAACCATAACTTTCGGAAACACAACAGGCTGAATTTACATGTGGTTTCTTTGATTATGGCTTTAGATCAGGGATATCAAACTCAAGGCCTCTGGGCCAGATCTGGTCTGCGGGGTGCTTAGATCTGGCCTGCAGGGCCATCCTGGAAACAGCAAAGGACCGGCCCGCGGTGCCTGTGCCAGTGAAAATGGACCTCTGTTTCCACTGGCAGAGGGTTGCAAGAGGCCATTGCAGCCAAAAACGGAGCTTGTGAGGGCCTGTTTTTGCTGGCAGAGTGCTCAGGCCACCACAGGTGTCCCCGACATGAGTGACATCAAACTGGCTGTACCCACCCTGGCCTTGCCCACTCTGGCTCCCTGAGCTCAAGCACAACCCTGATATGGCCCTCAATGAAATCGAGTTTGATACCCCTGCTTTAGATGTTCTATAAGCTATTCTCCAATTGAATTTATTTACAGCGCCAAACATAAACTAAACAAATTTTACTGACTTTCCTTATTTTGGTGACATGTGTGAAGCATGATTCTACCACATCTGTACAAATTCTCAAGGATATTTGATTATGGGAGACCAGCTTTCATCTAGCATTCTGCACAATGATGTAATACTTTAACATTATTAAGGATCCCAAAGGCTTTAGAATGCCTTCATGCCGTTCTCCATTCTCTCTATGGACCAAAATGCAGACATGGCATGGCAATTTTCATCACTGATGTCCATCTTATCTCCAGCCCATGAGTTAATGAGGTTCAAATCAGATTTAGTTAAAGTAGCATTTTCTACAAATGTGCAGGATTTTATATTCAAGGAGAAAAAGATGTCAACAAAATTACTGTATGCCTAACAGTTAAAAAGTTTAGACACTTCACAAAACTGGGAAGTGGTTGATGAAGATGTTGGAACTTGCAGAGATGGCTAAATTAAATTCTTTGATTAAAGAAAAGATAATATCTGTATTTATGGCCAACTGCAAATCCCTGGCACACTACTTGCATGAAACAGAAATCATTTGATGATTTAAAATTGGATAATAGGAAAAAGTAGATATTTTGTAATCATAAAGAGAGAACTTTGTAATATTTTGTATTTGCTGCAAAGGAAATCAGAAGCTTCTTGTTTCTTTTTCTTCTTTATCCTTTCCACATTTTTATTTTTTTCTCTTTCTCTCCTTGTTCTGCTTATTCTGCATTGCTGTTAATTTTTAGGTTTTTTTAAAAAAAAGTTAATACAATTTATATTTTTTAAAAAATATGTAAAGATACTTCAAAACACATGGGCATGATGACAGCATCTGTCAGCAATTCAATAAAACTAAAAGTTTTCCTGGGATTGTACCACAGCATATCATACCATTCTGTAAATGAGACCATTGTTTTAACAAATGGCTGACAGACACAACTTGAGCACCCCTGTGTACTCGCTCTCCTTTCAAATCCACTGTCACAGTCCAGGTGCAATCTCAAAATGAGTAAATGTGCTTACTTAAAAAACCAAAAAGGCAATTGCAATAACTTTATTTATTCAATTTCTATAGTCAGTCCATGACACTGAGTGGTTTAAAATTCAAAAATTATAAAGGTAAAAGCCATGATTCTCCCCCCCGCCACCCCCCATCACGTCCAGCTGTATCTGACTCTAGGGCATGGTGCTCATCTCCATTTCTTAGCCGAGAGAGGCAGCGTTGTCCGAAGACATTTCCATGATCATTGTAGCCAGCATGACTAAACACTGAGGAGCACAAAATGCTGTTACCTTCCCACCAAAGTGGTACCTATTTAACTCCTCACATTTTCATGCTTTCAAACTGCTAGGTGGGCAGGAGCTCACCAAGGAGCTCACCCTCTCGCACAGCACTCAGATCTCAATCCCAGGCTATCAGCTTTCCAGCTGACAAGCTCAGTCTCTTTAACCCCAGAGCCATTGCATTCCCTTCAAAAAATACATTATAATCAAAATATTAAAAACATTTTAACATAATAAAAAAACAATAGAAACATCCAAATAAATATACATTATCAGCCAAGATATTTGGCAATTTAACAATAAGGCCAAGAAACAGCCCTTATCACATGCAGCACCCCAGATATGGGAACATAATCAAGTTTTGAATTTCTGAAGTAAGGATGTTCCATAGAACAGGGGACACTGTGGAAAAAGCCCATCTTCCAGTTCCCACCAGGGGTGTCAAACTCACGTCATCACAACAGCATTGCGACATATCAGGACTTTTTCCCACTTCACTAAACTGGGCGGGGGCATAGCCAGCATGTGATGCATCCGGCCCTCATCTACACTATTTGGCTGATATGATCAGCAACATGCCTATCCTGTTAGATCTGGTTGGGAAGGGTAGACTCTTCAAGAAAGGAGATTCTTCAGATTGCAACTTGAAACAGTTGCAATCAAAACAGGACTGGTTACTGGGCACCAATTTTCATGCTGACTCAAAGATGACAGAGGTTATGGCCTGCTATATAAAAATAAAGACTGTAGAAGCAGGAGGGAGGAAGAAAGAGGATGTGGAATTCTAAGCCGCCCAGGGTCATTGATTGAAATGGGTGGCTACAGAAATGGAATAAACAAGCAGATATATAAAGGTATTTTTCTCCCACTAATTGGTCCTGTCTTCATTAAAAATCTGTACAGGTAAAAATCAGGGCATAGTTACTTACGAACCCAAATTTCATTTTAAAAGGTAAACTACATAGGCATTGTGCCTGCTGAAAGATTTGAGTTCACCCAGTTCTTTGAACTATCTGCCTACTTTTATAGGACACCTGATCTTTGGCCAATTTTAACATGTCTGATGTTTATTCCAACAATAGGGGAGCAAAAAATATACCAGAAACAGATTATACACCCCAGTTATCAATTCAAACACTATATGCACCACCAGTATTGGTTTAGGCAAGCTAAATGTATGTGATGAAAGCTGGCTCCAGCTATTTTAATAGCCCTACTTGACAAAGGGTGGGGGCTGTTTTTCTAGAAGAGGGGGGAATTGAAACTTCCAACATATGTATACGTAGACACACTCCCCAACAAGTTCTATAAAGGTCAAACTGCGTCTTTGGCGGATTATTATCAGATTATTGCACGGCTACGAAATTCTGAAAAATCCAATTCATGCAAGCGGAAAGTGAGGAGAGGGGATCTTCCCTTCCCGCTACTAAGTCCCACGCTGAACAAAACTGAGTTACAAGACCCGCTGGTTGAGAAAAACTGAATCTCCGTTTCGCTCTGGGTAAATAACGTGGTGGATTTGGCCTTCATCTGCTGCCAAATCATAACAAACCCTGTGAAGATTGTGGGAGCTGTAATCCAGATGTCCTTGTAGCGAGGCCGGGAATAGTCAGTTATGGGAATTGCAGCATATTGGTTGCACGTCTTCCTTATTAAAGCGAGAGGGAGGGAGAGAATAAGACGCCTCCGATAACGTTGCAAAGCCCCCGCCTTAGTGGGGCGGGAAATAGCATAATAGGAGCGACTCCAAAAGGACGGAGGGAGCGACATGACCAAAAGGTCTCTCGGACCAAGCAAGGTTAGGATCGCGCTGATTGGAGCTTGCTTGGTCGAAGAATCTCTGGCGTTCTCTAGTGAGGGGCGGAGATAACGGAGAATTCACCCGGAAAGTTTACTTTCGGTTTTGCTTCAGGGAAAGAGGGACCTGCGGCTTCTCATCTTTGAAGGCAGGTAGGCCAAATTCTGTTGGAGGAGATTCTTTCCCTTCCCTTTTCTGAGATACCTTTTATTTCTTTGCTTATACCAAAGGTTATTCCGTGTCCTGTTGCTTTTTCACTCTGTTGCGTTTTGAATCTTTAGAGAACCAAAAGCACATTTACTTCTCCATCTCTTTGCATTTCTTTGCTTAAATTAATAGTGTTCAGTCTCCCGAATCACAGCTGACAGTTTTTTTCTCCTAGTACTTGAGGTCCCTTCAATAAATGGGGGGGGGGGGGGGAAATTACCTCTATGCTAAATCTTCTTGCTCCCTACCTGGGAGGATGTATCCATATTTCCAGACAGTGTTGAGGAAGATGATTGTACTATATATAATCCAACATTCTTCAATCCAGGCTAATTGGAAAAGGGCACTGTATCAAATGACATTGTTACAAATCTTTTAAAGATTTTTGACATAGTAACCCCCAATAAATATCAGAAGATCCTAGCCAAAAGCACCATCCATATATAATAAAATAAAAATGATTGGAGAGCTCTTAGATTTATCCTACTAAGCTGCAGGAGAAAACTACCTGAGCTTGAATAATATATAAAATAATTTCTGATGTGTCTTGATTTGATCATTGATTCATCTGCCTTCATATATTTTAATTCTTACAATAGATATAGGGATAAGAAAAACCAAATGCTAACTATCTTTTCCTTTCCCCTATATTTTGGGATCTATTATCTTTACTCAGCTAGGCCTAATATATCACCTTGAATACATTTAATTGGAATATAAAATAGGTAAGAAAAAGCAATACTCATCATCATCTGCAAATCACTGTTGCAACCTGATCAGTGAAGACTGGTAATGTCTCTCATTCTCTTTGGTGGTAAGGAAGGCAGTGAGAAGAAGGGGGTAGAGAAGCCATTTCTCTCCCCCCCCTCCTCTTTTGCAAGTCTGGGGGAAATGTCCTGAGTGACAGTCAACTTGGACAATGGAATTAAGCTGGATGAACTAGGAAGCAGTTCTTCCTCTATATCCACCAATGCTTTGGAAGCTGCCTGATCTACTGGGATAAAATGATTGAAACTACCTAGTGAAATTTTATCCTATCAACCTGAGGAGAAATGCTGTGGTTAAAACAATATTGTCATGAGAACTTCCAACAGGAGAAAGTTCTCCCTGTGCTTATCAGTTGAGATACTTTTTTACACAGGTCTGGCACTTTTGTGAGAGATCAAGGACCATTTTTTTTTTTTAAATGCTTTGGTTGTCAAGCATTTAACAGATAAAGCATCAGGCAGAAGAGTGAGTAATCTCTCCCAGAGTGCGGTGCCCAGCATTTTACAAAATACCCATCTGACATTATATGGGCAACTTCCTAAGGACCGATCTCTGCCCAAGTCAAAGCCCATACCAGAAATGTGCATGTCAGGAGAAGAGAAAAACAAGAATTCTGAACTGAATGTGGAAAAAAAACCAAGTTAGGTTCCCTCAGCTATGGGCTGGAGATGAGATAGATGCTATTATGCAACAAAATTATCATAAAGAATAAGCAAGCCATTTTCAAACTATGCTTACAGAGACATGTGAATGGCTGCTACTTCTATCCAACAATCATTTAGCAAAACAGGTAGGCTTTATATCTCTTCTGCAATGGTTCAGTGATATTATATTTATTTTCTTCTATATTTTTTCCATTAAAATTCTTCAAAAGATCTAGCCTGTTTTTATTTTGTTTCCTATTAAGAAATTTATATAGCTGTCCATCCTCCAGTGAGCTCTGGCTTTTATTAAGAATGGAAACATACTTTCTTTTTTAAAAAAGAATTAAATAAAAAAACAAGTCTCAACAAAACTAAGCCAGGCTATTTTGATTAATCCTGATATATACAAGTTCAGAAAGTAAACCATGATTGTAGAGTCATAAACTATCATTCTTTGATAACTACCTGATTATCGATGTGATATAATGCTGTGTGAAATGGATAGGTTGTTTCTTGCCTTATTTCTAGTTTGTTTTGTGCCCATCAAAACTCTAGCTAATCATACAAATGCAAAATATGAATGGTTATAAATAAAATAATTGATATCTGAAATAAGCTAGACAAGCCATAAGAAAAATACTCAGCTGAAAACTGTACCAACATCTTTTCTGTCTTCTTCAATAAATTAGAATAAAAAAATAGCATTATATTTTTTGTCTTCCTCAGTTGGATTCTTTCAATATGTGGCCATCAGCTACACATAGATATGGCTTCCTCACATCCTCTAATCTACCAGGTAAATTGAGTATGATTATTGATTAGTAAACAGCCAGTTGTATTCTGCTTAAAAATGAAATGAGGGTGCTTTCTAGCTGACAGCCTATAATTATGAAGCTTTGTAGATCATTTAGTGGCTTTGAGGTTTGGGGAGAGGTATACAGTGCCTGCAATGAATTTGGTCTCAGTGTCTTTAGCATTAACTTTGAGTTCAGTTTTTTGCTTTGGGCCAGGCCAGATATTCAATTAACCATCCTCTTTTTGTTATTTCCATACCCCAGTGCCTTTGAAAAGCATTTCGGTGGATGTCATTATACGAGGTTTTGTGGCTGACGTTGTTTCAGAACTCCAGTACCAGAATGATGAAAAGAATCCAGTGGAGGCCACTTTTGTCTTCCCGCTGGATGGTGAAGCTGCAGTTTATGCCTTTGAAGGTCTGATCGGTGGGAAACGGATTGAGGCCCAGATCCGAGAGAAGAAGCAGGTACAAAGTAATTAAACATTTAGGGGTTTTTGTGAAGCCAATAGAGATTTCATCTATAAACCCAAATTATATATCTAGAATTCTGCATGTTGCTCTTTAGAATCAGCTGGTCTTAATTTTTATGTTTGCAGATTCTTTCTTAAAAAGATAACAGATAATCAGAGTTGTAAGGGACCTTGTAGGTCATCTAGTCCAACCCCCTGTCCAAGTAGGAGACCCCACACCATTTCTGACAAATGACAGTCCAATCTCTTCTTGACAGTCTCAAGTGAAGGCGCTCCCACAACTTCCGAGGGCAAGCTGTTCCATTGGTTGATTGTTCTCACTGTCAGAAAGTTTCTCCTTATTTCCAGGTTAAATCTCTCCTTGTTCAGTTTCCATCCATTATTCCTTGTCTGGCCTACAGGCGCTTTAGAAAATAGCTTGACCCCTTCCTCCCTGTGGCAGCCCCTCAAATATTGGAAGACTGCTGTCATGTCTCCTTCCCCTGGTCCTTCTCTTTACTAGACAAGCCAAGCCCAGTTCCTGCAACCATTTGTTGTATGTTTTAGCTTCCAGTCCCCTAATCATCCTGGTTGCTCTTCTCTGTACTTTTTCTAGAGTCTCAACATCTTTTTTATAATGTGGTGAACAAAACTGAATGCAGTACTCTAGGTGTGGTCTTACTAAGGCTTTATAGAGTGGTATTAGTACTTCCCTTGATCTTGATTGTATCCCTCTGTTAATACAATTTAGAGTTGCATTAGCTTTTTTGGCTGCTGCTGCACACTGCCAGCTCATATTTAGCTGTTTTGTCCACTAAGACTCCAAGATCCCTCTCACAGTTACTGCTATTGAGCCTGGTTTCACCCAATCTATATGTGTACTTTGGTTTTTCTTGCCTAAGTGTAGGACTTTACTTTTCTCTACATATGGCCCAGTGTTCTAGTCTGTCAGGATCCATCTGGATCTTGAGCCTATCTTCTTGGGTGTTAGCTATTCCTGTCAGCTTCGTATCACCTGCAAATTTGGTAAGTTCCCCTTCTATTCCCTCATCTAAGTCGTTAATGAAGATATTGAAGAGTATTGGGCCTAAGACGGAACCTTGTGTCATCCCACTGCTTACTTCCCTCCATGTAGACTTAGACTCATTAAGGACTACTTGTTGAGTATGGTTTGCCAGCCAATTGCGAGTCCATCTAGTGGTGGTGCTATTTATTCCACTTTTTTCTAGCTTAGTAAGAAGTAGGTTGTGGTCTACTTTGTCGAATGCCTTGCTGAAATCTAAATATTTATGTCCACAGTATTTTGCTGGTCTACTAATTTAGTCACTGTGTTGAAGAATGAAATAAGATTGGTTTGGCATGATCTGTTTTTTTTTATTATCTTTTCCAGTATCTTCCTGGGTATTGATGTTAGGCTGATTGGTACATAGTTTCCTGGGTCTGCTTTTTTTCCTTTTTTGAAGATGGGAACTACATCAGCTCTTTTCCAGTCCTCTGGTAGTTCCCCGGTGCTCCAGGATTTTTGAAAGATATGGTGCAGTGGTTCTGAGATGACCTCTGCCAGCACCTTTAAAACTCTGGGATGTAATCCATCAGGCCCCGGTGATTTGTTTTCATCAAGATCAGACAGGTGTTCTCTTACTATTTTTTTGCTTATTTTGACTTTTATTTCTGGTCTCTCTTTTACAGTTATGTTTTTGGTGGGTTGAGCTATAGTTTCTTTTTGCATGAAGATGGATGCAAAGAATGAGTTAAGCAGTTCTGCTTCCTCTCTGTTGCCTGTTACTTCCTTGCTATCTTCTCTCTTTAGTGGATCGACTGTTTCCTTGATTTTTTTCTTGTTATTTATATGTTGGAAGAAACTTTTTTTATTATCTTTGACTTTTGTTTGAAGTCTTTGTTCATTTAGTAGATCTTAATTTATTTTCTTAGTTTTTATAATAGTTAGCAGTTTTTCAGTGGTGAATATTTTTTTCAATTTGGAAAGAAGGCTGCCAATTACTAAACAGTATTTCATTTATCAAGAACTATACTTTTAGTCTGATTTTAGGTGGGCTGTGAATGCTACTGTTACAATCGCTCTACTTAATTTTCCTTGTTTAATTTTTTTCCATTTCTTTCTGGGCTGCTTATATTGAAGTACTTATTCATAGCCATCTTAGTTATAGAAAATAACATACATCCATATCTTGCTTTCTTTTTTGTTTTCCCTTGCATTTCCCTCCCTCCTTTCCCATTATCATTATATATCTTCAGCATACTCTGAGTCATTCCCAAAGCAACACTATTTAAAAGATATTTAAGTCTTTCTGAAAGAACGCAACATTTACCTTTACTACTAAAATCATTGTTTGGGCAGTGTATTATTATTATTATTATTATTATTATTATTATTATTATTATTATTA